CAACCAGACCATTATTTCTAGTTGGGGAATCTATCAGTTGACACATAGAATTGTTCTGCCAGACATTTAAGATATGGCAAGCCTTAAAGGAGTAAGCAGTTCTCTATGATAATTTAAGTCCTCCACGATGATAATGTTGCCCTACCTCGCTGCCATTTCTGTGAAAAGAGACTGGTCTCCTCTTCATCCTTCTAGCTAGGGGGGCATGTAGCATACACCCACTATTAATTTCCCTTTGAAGCTCCAGCCACAAGCTCAAGCCTCCCTTGCCCCAATAGTAGTGTTCACCAGAAAATCACTCTTGATGTACATGCACACCCCTCTATCTCTTCTACCTACCCTGTCCTTTCATTACAAGGCGTAAACCTCCCTGGACAGTTGCAAGCCAGTATCTGTTACTCCCAAGAAGTTAAAAGCCTCTTTGTGCATCACAAGCTCCATCTCGATCCAGAAATGTGGATGAGGGCAGTTGCTTTCCCGTGGGTCTCCCTTCTCATTGATTGACACAGCAGTGGTAGCCATTGGCTCCCCCTACTGTCAATTACAGCCAGTGAGCCAATATGAAGAAAGCAGGGGTCGGGCCAAACCATGCTCTGTGTGTAAATGGACACGCAGAGCAGCGGCTCAGGAGCAAGCCTGCTCGGGTATGGCAAGCTGCATGCTATGGGGGCACTAGACAGGAGAAACATTTGTGAACATGCTTTTTAGTATTGCTTTGTAGTATTGTCAGTCCAAACATGCTGGGCCTAGGTACTCCAGTTACACCTCAGTAGCACCTACTGCCCTTTGTTCACTAGATGGAATATCTTCCTCTGATCAGTCCCTCCCAATACCTAGTTTAACAGTTCCCCTAGTTTTTTGGTCATCCTCTCCCCCAACAGAGCTGCACCCTCTCCATTTAGCTTTTAGAGAGTCCCTGCTATACAGCCAGTAATCGACCCTCCTTCCTGCACTAGTTCCTCAGGCACTTGGTAAATTGCCTAAGCTCCTGCTCCTCACTGGTGTGCTTCAAGGTACAGGTAATTTCAAGAATATCACATTGGAGGTCCTTTTCTTCAATATAGTCCTAAGTACCTGAAAATGTTTTTTAGGATGCTCTGTCTTCCTCTTTGTCATTGCTACCAATATGGCTATATGAATCTGTTCATCTGATCCACGATGGGCTGAACCCAAGATTCCAATAAACATCATACTGTTCTGTGCGATCACAGTCTTTGTGACAGATTGCTTTATCTGTCCTTCTAATAGTTGAGTCCCCTACCTCTAGTACCTGCCTATAGCCTTGCCTCCATCCTCACTGGAGCAGTCATTCAATTAAAAAGGGTAAGGATGCCTGAAGTTGCTTTATTCTCTGAAGGAACAATAAGTAAAAGTGATATTAAAAGGCTTTTCTTTTGTTGTTTAAAAACAACAAAAACACATCATACTTTCCTGCTCAGGGCAGTGGTTTTGCACAGAGCACTCCCGATCCTCTTCTTGGGTCCCCTGCCGGCATGCCCATCCCCTTTCTCCTGTCTAGTGCCCCCATAGCATGCAGCTTGCTATACCTGAGCAGGCTTGCTCCTGAGCCGCTGCTCTGCGTGTCCATTTACACACAGAGCGTGGTTTGGCCCCACCCCTGCTTTCTTCATATTGGCTCACTGGCTGTAATTGACAGTACGGGAGAGCAACTGCCCTCAGCCACATTTCTGGATCGAGATGGAGCTCAGATAAGTTTTAGAGGGAGGGGCTAGGGGGCTGCTGCTGCACACAGAAGGTTTTTACTTTTATAGATAGAATGCATGAGGGTAAAAAAAACCCTGAGCCTTTACAACAACTTTAAGTTCACTGTGCTGTAACCTCCTTGTATTTTGTTTATTTGGGTGTTTGTACTTGCATGCATAGATGGCTTTTTTTTTGCCTGCTGGTGTTGTCTACCCTCATAGACTGTGCATGTGTGTATACAATATATATTTATATAATAAAACAAGTAAGGTAGAATCTAAAAACCTCTGCTGGTTCAATAAATTATTTTTTTAAAAAGGATTTATAATGACTTACTTGTCATTTTTTATGTGTTCATAAAGGCGCTTAAACTGTCGTAGCTGAAAAGACAATATTCCCATCAAAATAACCACCATTAGCAGAAAAGGATAAATACGACGTTGAACCAGATTCTGCATTTCAGCAGTAACACCTGTAAGTTAAACCAATATGTTTATATTAATTGCAACTTGAAAAACTTTGCATAATAAATATATAAAAACAAACACCTTTGCATTAAAATAAAGATAAAATTTAAATTTTTGTTAGTGTAGTGGGAGTGTGCGCATTACAGGAAATTATCTTTTTACAGCATGGTTAACCCTTATTAAACCTGACTTAGAGCATTTGTAAAGTTTATGAAATTAAGACGGGAATTTATCTGGAGGATCATATATACATAAAAAAAAGTTACACTTATTAAAGCAAAACAAATGCCTTTTTGGAGAGCTTTGTTCCTGCAGTCATATGACCACAGTAAGTCTAGATCAAAAGTGCTGAGCAAGGTGAGGGGCATGTTCTCTTATGCAGAGTGATCCTATTCTGTGATTGGGCAGGTGGTCTCACCTGTCATGTCCTGCTTTCAACAGCTGGGGAACCATGGATCACTGCAGTGTGCAAGTGCTCTGTTTTTGGGAAGAGAAAATATCCAGTGAGCAACAGTTGTGTGGACGAAAATGCCTTGCTAATGTCAGAGGTCAGAGTAGAATGGGCAGACTGGTTGCTGGGACATACAGATGGTAGGGTCAAAATTTGGTGTAAACAACATGAAAGCATGGATCCATCCTGCCTTGTTTCAATGGTTCAGGCTGGTGGTGGTGTAATGGTGTATGTTTACATTAGTATACATTTAGTATAAATTCTATTCTGATAGTCGGACCTGCTGCTGTCAAAATACAATGATCAGCGCCTGCAAAAATCTAACAGCAAGTTCAACAAAAGTCAAGTAAATGATTTGACATACACCATTACACCACCACCCTGAACCATTGATACAAGACAGGATGGATCGATGCTTTCATGTTTACAACAAATTTTGACCCTACCATCTGTATGTCCCAGCAACCAGTCTGCCCATTCTCCTCTGACCTCTGACATCAGCAAGGCATTTTCGTCCACACAACTGTCGCTAACTGGATATTTTCTCTGTAAACCCTAGAGATGGTTGTGCGTGAAAATCCCAGTAGATCAGCAGTTTCTGAAATACTGTCAGGGCTCCCAGGTGTGACCAGAGGTGTGTGACTGACGCAGGGAAACGCAGACTTCAGATATGTGATAAACAATATAATTTATTAACACTAACCATACAAACATAAACGCAGTGCAATACTAAAACATAATACAGTGCAAACAAACCAAACCAACCACCCACAGATAACAGTACATACAAGCAAGCGTCGTCAGGCAGGCCGGGTCAATATCAATAGGGCAGGTAGGTACAGGGGGAGCAAGCGGAGATGGGTCGGGGTCACAGGCCAGGTTCAGCAGGTTGCTAGCAGCGTAGTACAGAGGGTCAGGCAGAGGGATGGTCAGGGTCACAAGCCAGGGATCAGAACAGGTAGCAAGCAGCGTGGTACAGAGGGTCAGGCAGAGGGATGGTCAGGAGCGAGCCGGGATCAGAGCAGGAGAAGTCAGCAGCGGTTCAGATCAGGCAGGGTCAGCAAAGGAACAGAAACAGGATGCAGAAGAGATACAGGGCCCAGGACAAACACAACACCAAGGCAGAGTCTGCAAGTCTGGCCATCCCTTAAATACACCAGTATCATCAGTTCCAGGTGTTAGCTGGCTGAAAGGTTGAGTCTCTGATTGCTGGGAGCACCCGCTGGCCAGCCCTGGTACTGCAGATCAAAAGGCAGGTGAGTCTCACCATTGCTGGCCAGTCCATTCCTGACAGTACCCCCCCCTCAAGGAGCGGCCTCAGGACGCTCCAAACAGTCCTAGCTGGGCAAAATGTTCCACCCGCCCGGGTCTGGTAACTGGCGGGATATCAAAGACTGGCACACCGGGCAGGACTCCGGGCAGCGGCACACCGAGCTGGACTCCGGGCAGAGGCACACCGGGCTGGACTCCGGGCAGAGGCACATCGGGCTGGACTCCGGGCAGAGGCACATCGGGCAGAGGCACACCGGGCAGAGGCACATCGGGCAGAGGCACACCGGGCAGAGGCACACCGGACAGAGGCACATCGGGCAGAGGCACACCGGGCAGAGGCACATCGGGCAGAGGCACACCGGGCAAAAGCGCCCCCGGGCGGAGCAGCAGGCAGCGGGCCCCCGGGCAGGGCGACAGGCATCGGGCCCCCAGGCGGAGCGGCGGGCCCCCCCCAGGCGGGGCGACAGGCATCGGGCCCCCAGGCGGGGCGACAGGCATCGGGCCCCCAGGCGGGACGACAGGCATCGGGCCCCCAGGCGGGGCGACAGGCATCGGGCCCCCAGGCGGAGCGGCGGGCGCCGGACCCCCAGGTGGAGCGACAGGTCTCGGGCCCTCAGGCGGAGCGGCGGGCGCCGGACCCCCAGGTGGAGCGACAGGTCTCGGGCCCTCAGGCGGAGCGGCGGGCGCCAGACCCCCAGGCGGAGCGACAGGTCTCGGGCCCTCAGGCGGAGCGGCGGGCGCCGGACCCCCAGGCGGAGCGACAGGTCTCGGGCCCTCAGGCGGAGCGGCGGGCGCCGGACCCCCAGGTGGAGCGACAGGTCTCGGGCCCTCAGGCGGAGCGACAGGTCTCAGGCCCCCAGGCGGGGCGGCGGGCGCCGGACCCCCAGGCGGAGCGGCGGGCGCCGGACCCCCAGGCGGAGCGACAGGTCTCGGGCCCCCAGGCGAAGCGGCGGGCACCGAGTCACCAGGCACGACAGTGGGCTCCGAGTCAACTGGCATGACCGCTGGCACTGGGTCAGACATTGGATCGTCTGGCTGGACAGCGGGCATCGGGTCACCAGGCATCAGGTCATTTGGCTCGACAGTGGGCACCGCGTCATCTGGCAAGGCAGTGGGCTCCGAGTCAACTGGTATGACCGCGGGCACTGGGTCAGACATTGGATCGTCTGACTGGACAGCGGGCATCGGGTCACCAGGCATCAAGTCATTTGGCTCGACAGCGAGCACCGCGTCATCTGGCAAGGCAGTGGGCTCAGAGTCAACTGGCATGCCGCGGGCACTGGGTCAGACATTGGATCGTCTGACTGGACAGCGGGCATCGGGTCACCAGGCATCAGGTCATTTGGCTCGACAGCGGGCACCGCGTCATCTGGCAAGGCAGTGGGCTCCGAGTCAACAGGCACGACAGTGGGCACCGGGTCACCAGGCATTGGATCGTCTGGCTCGACAGCGGGCATCGGGTCACCAGGTATGACAGCGGGCCCTGGGTCACCAGGCATCAGGTAATTTGGCTCGCCAGCGGGCACCGCGTCATCTGGCAAGGCAGTGGGCACCGAGTCACCAGGTACGACAGCGGGCTCTGAGTCAATTGGCACGATAGCGGGCACCGGATCAGGTACCGGATCATCTGGATCAACAGCGGGCATCGAGTCAACTGGCCTAATAGGATCGTCAGGCTGGATCTTTCATCATGCTGGGTAGAGGCATCAGGCTGAATGCCGGCGTCCGGCCGAGTAGAGGCTTCAGGCCGAGTAGAGGCTTCAGGCCGAGTAGAGGCTTCAGGCCGAGTAGAGGCTCCAGGCCGAGTAGAGGCTCCAAGCCGAGTAGAGGCATCAGGCCGAGTAGAGGCTTCAGGCCGAGTAGAGGCTTCAGGCAGAAGAGAGGCATCAGGCTGAGTACAGGCATCAGGCTGAGTACAGGCATCAGGCTGAGTAGAGGATTCAGGCTGAGTAGAGGCTTCAGGCTGAACCACGGAAGGCAGGTTCACCGGTTTGGATACTGGCAGGATGGTATTGGTTGGAAAGAATTTTCGCTTTTTTCTGGTTTTAACTACTGGAGCACTGCAAGTAAACGCAGGTCTGCAAACGAATGGAGCAGCTGGAGACAGAGAAGAACTGGAGGATGGAACAGGAGAGGGAGCAGTTGCTACAGAGGGCTTTTTTACAGGGTTAAAGGCAGGATAGGTGCAGCGAGTGGGAACAGGGTACTGACATGCGGTAGATAGCCAAGTATACTGGGCTGTAACTGGGGGAGTTGTTGGGAATACAGGAGTAGAGCTTTGAGGAAATAGATTAGAAGCAGGACTGGGTCTTTGTAAGCTGACTGAGGCTGGGTGCAACAAGTCTGTCCATGTCTGCAGTATGGGTTGAACAAAGCTGAGCTTACACAAAGCCTGTCTGACCAAAGACTGCACTGCGTTTATACAATCTCTTAGTATCTGTGGTGAACATGTGGAATAACGCTCCAGAAAGTAACCCACATCATCCTCTAATAACCACACCAGGGACTCTACCTGGTCTGCACTAAATGGTGGCAAAAATTCATCCCTGCATTCGGGGGAACCAGATGAAACCAACTCAACACAAACCTTAATCAATGGCTGCACCATAGAGAAATCTGTGCCCTGATCTACTAGAACATGAGCGAGCCGTATACATTCTAGCAGTTCATCCCGGGGATACTCCTTCAGCGTCTGATAAGCATATTTTCTATCATCAAGCACTAGCAGAGATAAATACTCAACCTCATCCAGATCCATCCTTCCCAGCAACAAGCCAAGATGGCTTCCCTGTGCAGCCACTTCTGGTCAGGATTGGCCTTGGTGTAATGTCAGGGCTCCCAGGTGTGACCAGAGGTGTGTGACTGACGCAGGGAAACGCAGACTTCAGATATGTGATAAACAATATAATTTATTAACACTAACCATACAAACAAACGCAGTGCAATACTAAAACATAATACAGTGCAAACAAACCAAACCAACCACCCACAGTACATACAAGCAAGCGTCGTCAGGCAGGCCGGGTCAATATCAATAGGGCAGGTAGGTACAGGGGGAGCAAGCGGAGATGGGTCGGGGTCACAGGCCAGGTTCAGCAGGTAGCTAGCAGCGTAGTACAGAGGGTCAGGCAGAGGGATGGTCAGGGTCACAAGCCTTGGATCAGAACAGGTAGCAAGCAGCGTGGTACAGAGGGTCAGGCAGAGGGATGGTCAGGAGCGAGCCGGGATCAGAGCAGGAGAAGTCAGCAGCGGTTCAGATCAGGCAGGGTCAGCAAAGGAACAGAAACAGGATGCAGGACAGATACAGGGCCCAGGACAAACACAACACCAAGGCAGAGTCTGCAAGTCTGGCCATCCCTTAAATACACCAGTATCATCAGTTCCAGGTGTTAGCTGGCTGAAAGGTTGAGTCTCTGATTGCTGGGAGCACCCGCTGGCCAGCCCTGGTACTGCAGATCAAAAGGCAGGTGAGTCCCACCATTGCTGGCCAGTCCTTTCCTGACAAATACTCAGACCAGCCCGTCTGACACCAACAACCATGCCCTGTTCAAAGTTAGTTAAATCCCCTTCCCCATTCTGATGCTTAGTTTGAATGTCAGCTAGTCGTCTTCACCACGTCTACATGACTAAATGCATTGACTTGCTGCCATGTGATTGGCTAATTAGCAATTTGTGTTACCAAGAAATTAAACAGGTGAAAAAAAAAAATTTTGCTATTTAGTGATCATTCTGTATATGGCTAATATTGTTTTAATTTGCTTTTAGAGGCTCTGTCTTTGTGGGGAGTTCTAGGGGATATCCGACCAATACAATTTTGTACTGTCTTTGAATATTTTTAAATGGTTTAATTTTTTATTGGTGTTGCATATTTGCTTTTTATTGAATTAAGGAGAACTCAAAGCTTTCTCTTTTCTGGTATTTGATATTTGGAGTCAAGGTATATAATCCCCTTTTATCTTCTCAGGGCTTGCCTCCCTATAAGCATAAGCTGTCAGTCATTTAGAGAGAGGCAAAACAGGGGGCATATCAGCCTATGATGGGGACTGCAGACATGCAGCAAGGTCTGGCAGAGAGCATTAAGTTTTTGCTCGCAACGTATGTGTTCAAGCAGGAGAAAAGAAAATATTCAATGAAGTTGTGGCTTTCTTCTATAAAACTTTGTACAGTAGGCACCCTTTTTAACCCCTTCACGCCTAAGGGTAAAACAAATCTAAATGCCGAAGCACAATTCTGCAACGTTGACATGTGATAGTAAGACCGTACATATCACCACTACTTTGTACATCCAGGTGGATTATAACTTGATTTTTTCAGGACAAATTGGGCTTTCATTTGGTGGTAAATGGTAATGGATAGCTCCTAATTTTTTTATTATCAAAGAAAAACTGGCCCAAAATAGTAAAAAAAAAAATAGTTTTAATTATTTAGCTGTGTTTCTTGTTACGACCATAACCTACCACCAAAGAACAACCCAAAATAAATTTTCCAGCTCTTGACAATCGCAGCGATACCATATATGTGTATGTTATTTGTTGTTTGTACCCGTAGTACAGCCCAGAAACAATAGTGCGCGTTTTGTTTTTGTATTTTTTTTTTTTTACCTACTGTAAAACACACTGACATTAACACTAACTGACACCAATTTTTTTTTTTTTAAATCCTAACCTTTTACCCTGACCTTGACCCAGACACTAACCCTGGCACTGAACTAGATAAAACCTTGATCTAGGTATTTTTCTTTTTTCTTTTTTAATATTTATCTTTTTTTTATTTTTTTAACAAACATTTTTTTTCTCTCTATGCCAGGAGTTAGAGATACAATGTATCTCTCTTCTTCATTCATAGAGAAAAAACAAGGGGGCTGGGCTGCACAGTGACTGATCACTGTGATAGCCAATCAGAGGCTATCACAGTGATCACGTGACCTGGAATTGGGAGTCGTTAGAACGGGACCCGGGGTTCTCAGTGACAACGTGGTCTCTTTGCTAGGCGGCACACTCCCAGCACAAAGACAGGTACGCAAATATGCGGCCCCACGGAAAAAAGCCCAGTTCCGTAAGGCCGCATATTTGTGTGCTGTCAGCGTCAAGGGGTTAAGCATAATTATAGTTTTTTAAAAATTCTTTATTAAGAAAAAATAACTGTACAAAAATCTGTGACAATACATGTTACCATACAACGATAGCAAAGGCAGGTACATTTGTCCCATAGAGGTAGGGGGTGAAAAATAAATCTGTCACTTTCTGTAAAATGTTAAACCTATTGGGATGAAACCCCAACTTATGACACAAAGCATCGGCAGCCATTTTCAAAGGTTTTTATTCCCTCTCACAGTACAGTGCCCATGTTTTGTCTGTGTTTGTCATGTCAGTGTTTGTGTTTGCTATACATATGAAGGTGTTGCATTACCTGTGAAGAAAATCAGGCTTTTGCAGATATTGTGTCCATTGTACTATTTTCTAATGTATACATTATGAAGAAAAAAGCTAAAGAGTGTAGGAGCAGGAGTAAAGAGGTCCAGGGTAGACTAACAAGTACGGAAGGTGTGAAGGAAAGGAAAAAATTGGGATATTGGAGAAAGGGATTGTGGAAAACTCCCCTTCTCTCCCAGAGTGGGAAGAGGTGGTGAGGTAGGGCATAAAGAAGGAGTGGGGATGGATAAGGATAAAAAAAAAAAAAAAAAAAAAAAAGAGGGCACTCCTTCCCCGTGTCGGAAAGGAATTAATTTTCAGGCGGTGTAAGAAGCATAACTATTCCCTTGGTTAGGAATCTAGAGGCATTTGAGCTTTATAGCAAAGTCTTTCATGACCAGAGTAAAGTTCTCCAACTGCTGGATCTCTGAATGGCAAACCTTTGCTTTTTTGGAAATGGCCCGCATGCAAGGCTTAACAGTTTTAGCAATGAGCTTTTGTATTTTTTGATGGATAGAGGGGGTATCATGCAGCAGGTTCTTTGCAAGAGACAAAACTGTAAAAGTTATAACCATTGGTTCTACAGAGCCTCCAAATTCCTGGGCACACCCAAAAACATGTAACACGCCCCACCCCCTCTGTCACTAGACACATCCAGCATAGATAAGAAATTTGTAGAAATATTCGAAGGAGGATCATAAGTGTTCTGTAACACCTTGTGAGGAGCTTATAGTCATCTTTCTGATATTTACATGCTTTCAAGTATATGTGCACATGTTGGGTTCTTGCACCCGTCAGTGTGGTGCAGAGATGTGAAAAGGTGTGGCATACTGGGGTCTGGTCGAAATAGATAGTAGTTGCTTAAATAGAGAGAGTGCCCTTAATGTTTCAGGTTCCTCGGGTAAGGTAAGAAGATATGCACCAAGTTGACAGCAGCAAAAAATGCATTGTTTGGTTGCAAATATAGTCTCCAGGTCTATTCTACTAATAGGGCAGTTGTTAGAGGAGAAATCAATCATTTGAAAGATCCCCTGTTTGAGAATGGTACAGACTTAAGGGTCTGAGAGACCATGTCAAAAGTCTGTTATATAGTAGTATCCCTAGTATAGGGAGCATGGGGCTCAGTGGGAGAGGCTCTAGTTGTCTACAACGTGGCACCTATACGCTGGTGCTAGTTGATAGTTGGTAAGTCTGGGGAGCTAGGAATTCACAGAAGTCCAGCCAGCATTGGCTTGATTAGTGCTTGTT